TCTGGTGCTCCGAGCAGGCTCCAGTACACCTGTACCAGGGCGTACCACCTTTAACCCACCACTGCTTAACCCCTAGACCAGGGGTGTCAAACTCAAGAGCCAGGGGACAGATCTGGCCATGGGATGCTTAGATCTGGCCCATGGGACCATTCTGGAAACAGCAAAGGACCGGCCCACAGAGCCTCTGCCAGCAAAAATGGAGGTAGGGAGGGCCACAGGTTCCATGTTTGACCCCAACGGCCTGCTGCAGCCCTCTACCAGCGAAAATGGAGACCGGGGAGGCTGCATGCAGCCTGCCTGGGCTCCATTTTTGGCCATGACATGCTCCATTATGGCTAGCTGCAGGAGGCCATCTCGGTGATGTCAAGATGGCCATGCCCCTCCCCCAAGGTCAAACACATTCAACCCTCAATGACATCGAGTTTGACTTCCCTACCCAAGCCCAACTGAGTCTCAGTGTAGTGGCTAATATGTCAGGCTAGAAAACCAGGAGACGGTGAATTCTAATCTTGCTTTGGATATGAAACTGACCTTGGGTCAGTTAGCCCTAGGAAGAAGCAGGCAATGGCCCACCATTTTTGAAAATCTTGCCAAGAAAACCACAGAGAACTGTCCCAGGCAAGTACCAGGCGTTGACATTTTTTCAAAGGTATTGACAGGAAATCACATACCATATTTTGGTAACTTCAATAGCAGCCTCAACAAACCACCAGAAGCCCAAAAGGTCAAAGCACATTTCAGTTTAGCCTAATGTGTGAATGAAGTCACATCCATCCATATGTTCAGACTGCCACGTAGAAATTCATTCGTCATCTACAATGCAGAAATCTCAGGGGGGAAAAAACCCATCTGTTAAATTCCACAGTTGCCTTTGTTGTTGTTTAGACTAGGGGTGGGTGTCAGTCAGTGTTCCTGCTGGTTCGTTTGTGTGTGCGCTGCGCATGCATGCATAATTAAATGGAAATTGTTCTGTGCATGCGCAGAACTAAAAAAAAAAGATGGCAATGGCGGCAACCGGGGAAACCGGTTCGGGGGCGTGGCCAGCCTGGGTCGCTGCCGTTTCTGTGATGCAGGCCGGCACTACCACTACCGGTTCACCTGAACCGGACTGAACTTGTAGGAACCCACCTCTGGTTTAGATGTGTCGTGATTACATCCTGCAGAGTTTCCAGCTAACTTGAAACATGCTTCTCAGGGGAACCTCAAAAACTGAACCTCAAAGTTACTCAACCCTAATTTATATATAAAGTTTTTTTTATTTTTTCATTTTCATAACATATAATCACATATATACTATTACATAGCCAACATTGTATTGTATTATTAAATGTTTGCATCAATTCATCTTATCATCAACTCCCAAAAACAATTATTGNAGTGCAGTACTGCAGGCCACTTCAGCTGACTGCTATCTGCAGTTCGGCGGTTCAAATCTCACCAGCTCAAGGTTGACTCAGCCTTCCATCCTTCCTAGGTGGGTGAAATGAGGACCCAGACTGTGGCAATATGCTGACTCTGTAAACCGCTTAGAAAGGGCTGAAAGCCCTATGAAGCGGTATATAAGTCTAACTGCTATTGCTATTGCTATTTTTTCTGAGTTTCCACAATTCAGGGCATTCCGATTAACACTTTGCATTCACCTACCCAATTTTAAAAGTAGCTGAGTCTAGAAGGTTATGTGAAAGGCAACTATTAGTCCTGAGACTTGAAGGCTAAACACAAAAGCTATTTCGGTTTGGCCAGAATTGGCTAGGTTCGGCCAAACCGGTAGTGGGATTCTTCTGCAGCACCTGTATTTTGGCTGAAATTAATGGTCCTTCCAGGAAAGCTATTTTCACCTCTTCCATTTTGTTCTTCAAATCTAGGGAAGACACTCCAATCAAGAAGAATACCAATAAGACCTCAGTAATTTCATCCAGGCAAGGGGGTGATGGTCTCCGTTGGATGTCCCATGCATGCCTCAGGAACAAAATGGCCTCAGCCAAAGAGGATGAAAGTTGGTGGAAGTCTGCTGGATTGTTCTGTGTGTGCATTTTTTTTTTCCAAAGCCACATATTTTTGTACATAATATACAAACTAAGGCGTCATACAATTTGCTGGACTTTGTTAGCCCAATGACTTAGCTTAGTTTAAATATAGCCAAACTGTGTTGTATGAACCAAATGATGGTTAAACAAGTGTTTGAAGCCAGTCTGTTTGGGAGAGTCCTGTAGGTCTCCCACTCGGCTTGCACATCACATCAAGCGGCGGGTTTGATCTGGGCTAAGTATGTGTTTTTTTATTTATCCAATGTATATGTAGCATGATCCCACCCAATTGTGTATTTAAGCCATCATTCATGATTAGTGAACCAAGCCACTTGTGAACCTAAAATCAGAATCAAAGAAAGTATGTAGGCTCCAGGTTTTGTCTTAAAAAAAAAACTTTAATCGCTATTGGTGAGTTCCAAAAAGCCATGCAATTAATTTTAGGTATCCAAGGATCTTTGAATCTACATTTTGAAGATAGAGAAAATATATAGCTCAAGGTTGCACTCTTGGGCTGCAGGTGTCCTGCGAGTCATTTTTTTCCCCCTGGCAGTTGCAAATGTTCATAGCTGAAAATTGCAATTAACAATGTTATAATACGAACACTCTACCCATAGAGGTTAGATTGGCATGGAAACCTCTACAGAGCCTGAAGACCTGGATGAGTTCCACAGCGTGGGATTTTATTGGTGAAACGACTTAAGCATTGTGGTTGGCCTGCTGATAATCTTTGATTTATTTTGTCAGCATCCTTTATTGGTTCTTTATGTTTCATCGACATTGTTTTATTGTTTTGAATGTGTGGTAAGAATCACATCTGCAGAGTGAACACCTGCACAAATGAATTCAATTTGCCGCAGAAATAACCAAAGATTAAGCTGGAATGAGATCACAGTATCACTCCTCTTTCTTCCGGACAACAGGCCAGTCTTGCAGATGACTAACTAATTTAATAGGGTAGCTCACCCATGACATGTAATGTAAATGGTACCTGTAATGATATGTAACAGATATTAATATATTTTACAATGGAGAAATCCCAGCTGGTAACATTGCAGATATGATTCAGCAAGCAATGAAATGTCTGCAAGTGGATTATAGCGTTACTGAAGGGGAATATAGCTTTTCTGAATAAAGTTCCTCAGTCTTGTTGAAGTGCTTTAAAATATATAAAATATAAAAATGTGCAAGGAATCCACTACGATATATTCTCAAGACTTTAGATATGCCTGCATATCTAACTCTTTCAATCTGCCAAAATTAATAATACCATTTTATATTTTTTATCCCACATTGTGTGGGAATTTAAAATTAGTCTCGACACTCCAAGAAATCTGTAGAAGAATTCAGCTCTAATTTTATCTAGCACAGGAAAAAACTATTTTCTCATAAGTCAGTTCTAAAGATTTGCTTCTGTTCAATGTATTTTCATATAGATGGAATAGGTGTATTCGTATTGGAGATGATGTAATATACATTTGATCAGTTCTTGAACTGTTGCAGATAGCTATATGTGAAAATGTAACTTGTTAGTTGTACTCAGGAAAAATGAAACTAATATCAGGATGACTGGTAAACATATGTCTGTTAATGTTTTAAAGCAAATAATGTAAATTAAGGGTAGAGGAAATAACTGTTTACCTAAGAAAATATAAATTATTCAATAAAAGATGACAAAAGCACAGACTTGTTTTATGGCATTCTTCAAATATCAAAAGCAATGTTTTGATTTCCCTTTTACAAAAGCCCAGCTAAACGTTTTCCTTTCCAAATTGACTCTGGAAGCCAAAGCTCCAACTGGAACATTCATTGTTGGAATATTTTATTCCTTGCCAAACTCGTTTCCGAGAAAACGAGTTCCAGAAAATAGGCAGATGCGTGGATGAAGATCTTTATTCTTCACCAAAAAGCAATAACAGCTAGCAGATACTGGGCAGTGGCAAATGCACAACAAACACATTACAATACATTATATACATTACAATCAGTTCCTTCCTCCCATATCAAAAACTTCCCCTTCTCCAGTTACTCATCTCTCTCTTTACATCACTCCATGTAAGGAACTTCCTTCTTTGCTCTGGTATTTAAATTTTCTGAGCAATGACCGGTTGAGGGAGCGAGATATGTCTGGCAAATCCAGAACCCGAGGAGCTGTCACAAAACTGATGTATTCAATTGTTGGAAGACATGTCCAGCTGGGTTCAGTTCCAAGTGTGGAAAAAGACACTGGATTCATGGAAGTTTCTTGGAAAGAAGGTTTATTTTGTATATAAAGTTTTTTTTTCATTTTCATAACATACAACCACATGTATACTATTACGTAGCCAACATCATATTGTATTATTAAATGTTAACATCAATTCATTTTACCATCAACTCCCAAAAACAATTATTGACTCTTCTGCTCTCCATACACCATATTTGTACCTTATCCATCACTTTCTTCTCCCTCTCTCCTCCCTGCCTCCTTTCTTCCCTCTGTCATCCTTCCCTTCTCTACTTTCCCTTCCCCTCTCCTCTCTCCCCTTTCCACTCCTCCTTTCTCTCCTCCTCTTCCCCCCTGCCCTCTCTTCTATCCCTCTCCTTCCCTTCCCTTCCCTCTCTCTACTTCTCTCCATCTCATTTACTTGGTGTATTTCAGCTTCTGAGCACGCTTCATTTTATGTTGATGGTATTTCTAATTCCTTTTCAATATGCATATTTAATTTTAACATATATCTTCCATTCCATTCTACTCTTCCATTCCATTCCACTCTATTCTATTGCTGGGATAGAGAAGCGCTGCTCTGATTTAAAAGCCCGCTAGATAAGCTGGAACTCCAACTCCCAGAGTTCCGTGCGCCCGCTGGGAAATTCCGGGAGCTGCAAATCGAAGCAAGGGAAAAGCGCCTCCGCTGTTTTTGCCACAGTACTGCACCTGAGGCGCTCTCGCGTTTTAAGGACAAAAGGCACTTCGCGGCTACCGTAGCCGCGTGACTTAACATGGCGCCGCCCAGTGAAGGCCCCACGTTGCCGGTGCAGAAGTGACTGCTCCGTCCGCCGTCATGGCCGCTCGGCATAACAACAAGCTGCCGTTCAACCTGCCGCAGTTGCAGAACTTGATCAAGCGGGACCCGCCGTCATATACCGAGGAGGTGAGGAATTGAAGCCCGGATAAGGGAAGACAGCCTGAAAAGGGGTCCTGCGTAGTTTCTGTTCAAGGGGGTTGGACTAGAGGACCTCTAAAGTACCCTCCATTGCTTTTATTTTGTTATTTCTGTGGGGTGTCAGTGTTGTAGCCGAAAATAGCAACGGAAAAGGTGCCTCTGAGTATACACGGATAACCCCCGAATTACATTTCGTTTAGTGACTTTTTGAAGTTACAACGACAGTGAAAAATGTGGCTTAAGTTATGACCGTGTTTCACCGTTACGACCTTTGCAGCATCCCCATGGTCACGTGATCCAAATTCGGCCGATCGGCAACTCGTAATTACGGGGGTCACGTGACCCCCCTTTGCAACCATCTGACAAGCAAAATCCATTGGGGGGGAGGCAGATTCACTTAACGACCGTGTTACTAATTTAAGAACCGTGGTGGTTCACTTAACAACTGTGGCAAGCAAGGTCGTAAATTGGGGCAGAACTCGCTTAGCAAGTGTCTTATTTGGAACATACATTTTGGACTCGATTGTGTTGGTAAATCGAGGACTGCCTGGATTTTGCCCTAAAATATTTTGTTGAATTTTAAAACAACGATTCCTCTACCTCTTGTAATTTGATAAGAGTGTAAGAAAGGAATTGTACAAGATGTGATCCAGTCATTTGATAGGACAGTAATAATTGGTTGTGTGTCACCTTACTCCTTTGGGTAGCATAAAATGCTAAAAAGCTTTGTTTGCAGACTCAGATTTGCGATCCCTAGTAAATCCTACAATCCCACCCTTCCTTTCGAATAGAATGTTCTTATTTGTTTTGTTGAGGATCCTTCTCCATCCTTGCTCCCAGCTGAAGTTCAGATATGATATTTAGCTTGAACAACAATAGAAGTAATATTTTTTTCTTGTTCGAATTTTTTCTAGTTCCTTCAACAGTATCGCCATTATAAATCCAATGTGGAAATATTCAAACTTCAGCCAGCAAAGCCCAATAAAGAACTGGGTGAATTGGTGATGTTCTTGTCTCAGGTAAAATGTGTATTGTTTGTCTTTATATAGTGCGTTTGTGTGAGTGAGAGAGAGGGGAGAGGGAGAATGAATGAATGAATGAATGAATGAATGAATGAATGAATGAATGAATGAATGAATGAATGAATTTTGCTTGAATTAGATCAGGGATCTTCAAACTTGACAAATTTAAGACTTTTGGACTTCAACTCCCAGAAGTTTCCAGCCAGAATGAATTCTGGAAATTGATGTCCACAAGCCTTAAAAGTTCCCAAGTTTGGAGACCCTTGAATTAGATTAAGCTTCTCTTATTGAAGGGGAGAAAAATCAAATTATCAACAGAATAAAAATGCTAAGGCTTTTCCTTCCAATAATTCTAATGGATGGTTCTAAATGTAAACAAGTGAGAATAATCACTTCTGACCTTTCTAATAAATGGAGCTAAAATGATTTAGAAGCTTCTTTTGCATGAGTCATTTTTGAATGTGGCTTTAACAATGTTTTCATAGAAAATTCTCATCACGCTAGAGATGCAAGGATACTGTGATGGGGGGAAAAAACCGTAGCATATGGGTTAGAAGTTACATAGCAAGGAGTGCAATTCGTCAGATTTAATTCCAAAATGATGATTTGGAGTGGGTGGGTGGGAGCATGAATGTGTTACCCGCTGTAGCTTTTTAAAGCAACTTCATCTTTACTGAGTCATGTTACAGAAGATAGCTTCACAATCCTGGGAAGTGACATAGGTGCTTTAAAGAGCAACCTTCAGACCTAGTGTTCTGTCTTCTGACATACTTTTCCCAAGCTATTACTCAACCCTGTAATGCACTTTGAATTATGCATTCATGCATATTAAATGGAAATTGCTATGTAGAGAGAAAGTGTCCTCTCTTACTGGTATCCTATTGATAGCCTCTGTAGGGGAAAATCTCCATGTTGGTAGTGCAAATAATGGAACTGATATCCAGTATTTCCAGAGAATGCCAGATTAGGGAAAACTTCCTGACAGTTAGAACAATTAATCAACTTGCCTCCAGAAGTTGCGAATGCGCTAACACTGGAAGTTTTTAATAAGAGATTGGACAACCATTTGTCTGAAGTGGTGTAGGGTTTCCTGCCCAGGCAGGGGGTTGGACTAGAAGACCTCCAAGGTCCCTTCCAATTCTATTCCATTCCATTTTGGTTTCAATATTATATGTGGGACTTGAGAACGTGAGGTTAAGTTATTAAGAGGCATTTCCCTTTGGGGCAGGAATTAAGCAGTGTCCCCACCGCCACCAGTTTTTAAGGTGGAATGTCATTAGATCCCCAAATCTTCCCAAGGTTCCCATGACCTCAAAGTTGAGAGTTCATGTGTCAAAAATCTTACAAGAATTTAGATATTCTGTGTATTGAATGGGTGAGTTCCACCTATTGGAACTGAATGTGTGGATGACCTTGGATGAAGGAAAGAGATGCTATTTAGGGGAATGATCAGACGAGATGCAGGAGTGGGAAATGATGTGGGAATCATTTTACTTAGATTTCTTTTGTTTTTTGAAACAGGTTGCCCATTGCTACCCGAAATATCTAGAAGACTTTCCGCAACAGTTGAAGGAATTGTTGTCCTATTGTCACACGGTCCTGGATCCAGATCTTCGGATGGTGAGCATCTGCAGTCCAGATGTTTGATCGTTGGGTGGGTGGGGGGGCAACTTTGTTCAGCGTTGCTTTAGTTTCTTGTTTTAAGAGAGTGGCGCCAATGTTTTGGAATAGATAAGACTGGTATGTCTCACGCTGCCATACTGATAGATTTATATCATATTTTGTTCTTAAGGGAAGGTGAAAAAGAACTTGAAAAAACTCAATTTCTGCTTCATGGTTACCTGAGCTCAGCTTGTAGGAAATCATGGAGGTGACGTTGGAACAAAATTGAAATGTGTTTGAATATTGGTAGCTTGGGATGATATTTAGGCTGGTGATTTGAGGTCCGAGCATGGCAATTTGGTTGCAAACGTTTCATCACCATTTGAGGTTGTCACCATCAATGTCTCCTCAAGTGATGACAAAGCATTTACAACCAAATTGCCATGCTGAAGCTAACAGCCTAACTTGGCGAAAAAAATTCGAAAACTGTTACAAACCTAAAAGGGGCCGAAGCATGCCTTGAACCGAGGAAAAGGAGAAAGTATTAGGAAAAGATTCAGTTGGCTTCTCCCTTGGCCTCCTAGGACGTTACAGGTAGTCCTCAACTTATGACAGTTATGGAGCTTGCAAATTATGGCCAGTGTTCTGACTTAGGCTGCCCAAGAGCATGAAGCAAACTCCTTGTCCCAACAAAAACCCTTTTTATTAATTGACTGTGAATTCTGCTCATTCACATCCTGCAAAGTCTTTCGAGGGAGGATTTACAGTCACAGACCTTCTCTGGCTTGGAGAGCTGCCAGGCCGATCTCTGCAGAACTTGGCAAGGAGCCTCGGAGAATCACGAACCAATTAAGTGAACTAATTGTCTCCTGCAAACTCCACTCCCCTTTTGCTCCTCTTTTATTTCCTCTGGGAGCGGCCATTCACCATCCACCTGTGGCCTTACTCCTAAGTCGACCCCTATTCTTTAGCTGTTCCCTTCATCTGTGCATGCGCGCACTGGGAACAGGCTCCAGCTGTTCATCTGCCTCACTGATGTCTGACTCCGAAGGCAGCTGATAACTGTTGGATGGCTCTGTCCCTCTCTCTGCCTCCGACACAGAGCCCTCTTCAGAGCCTTCCCCAGACTCCAGGACTGACCCATGTTCCTCCCCAACCTCTTCACTGTCCGAATCTGCTGCCAACTCCGCTGGCTGCTGACAAGCCACAGCAATCCCCGACTTACAAAATGTGGAATAGAAAAGCTGGAAAAATGGGTTGAAAAAAGCCTCAAAAAACAGGCCCCAAAGCCTCAAAAATGGCCCAAGAAAATCCTCCAAAATGGGCTGAAAAAGCCTTAAAAACAGGCCGGAAAAATGCCTGAAAATGGGGCGTGCAGAGGCCAAAAAATGTCCAGTGGGCTGGCGGAGCTTCGGCAATATTTGACCTATAAGACGCACAGACATTTTCACCCCCTTTTGGGAGACAAAAAAGTGTGTCTTATCGTCTGAAAAATACGGTAAGTTTAAGTCCTATTTAAAAAAATAGCAAGATGAAAAAAATGAGATGAAAGAACAGTATACATTGGTTGCTTTAGTATTTGTGTTGCAATCACCCCTTCATTATGGCCATTCTTGAGTAATTCCTTTCTCCTTTTTTGCAGACGTTTTGCAGAGCTCTCATCTTGCTACGAAACAAGAACCTGATTAATCCCACAAGCTTGTTGGAACTCTTCTTTGAACTCCTTCGTTGCCATGATAAATTTTTACGAAAAGTGAGTAGCTGGACTGACGTGAAAATAAAAAAAAACCTTGCCAATTTTATTTTAAAATGTTAACTAAAAAAATAAATAAAAGCCACAACACATTGAGTGTTTCCTTTCAAGACTGAGAAAATGATGGAACGATCTAATTTCAATACTATAAGTTACCGGATAACCTCCTTTGCCTTTTTGTGCCTGAGACATGTTGATGGGAATATTGCAGAATCCATCCCAGAATTAGAAGCAATAGCAGCCATGAGAAAAAGAACTAAAAATGAGCAGGACACGGGATAACATTTTTAAAAAAAATGCTTGCATTTAGTCTCTTAACCATGTGCTGCAAAATTCCATATACATACTGTCAACTGTAACTGTCAAGTTACAAGACCCTTGCACCCCTAACCCTTTAGGAAAAAAAAAGCCCAAGGGTGTTCAAACTTGATAGCTTTAAGACTTGTGGACTTCAACTCCCAGAATTCCTCCTCCAGTCATGTTGGCTCAGGAACTCTGGCATTGAAGCATGCAAGTCTTAAAGCTGTCAAGTTACAAGACCCTTGCACTCCTAACCTTTTAGGGAAAAAAAACCCCAAGGGTGTTCAAACTTGACAGCTTTAAGACTTGTGGACTTCAACTCCCAGAATTCCTCCTCTCGCTCTTCACCTTGATGATGTGCGGACGGGCGTGGGGAGGGAGCTGGAACCGGTTCTAAACGGCACTGTAGATTTGTGGAACCTCTTCTATAGAAGAGGTTAGAACTGGCAGGAACTCACCCCTGGTATATGGGTGTGATTCTTTCATTTCCATGTGTGCCATTGCACACACGGAAAAGTGACCTTACCTATCTCAGACTGTTCCATCATGGCATCTCTGCTTTTACTTTGTTCACTTTTCTCAAAGATTTATAGTTATTCGTACTGAAATTAGGTTCTCTCATTTCGACAGACATTATACACCCACATCGTTACCGACATCAAGAACATCAACGCCAAACACAAGAACAACAAAATGAACACTGTAAGTTTTCGGCTCGATCCATCGGCTTTAAAAGTTGGAAAGCTCCAAGAAACGCTTCCTCAAAAGTGATGTGTTCTTTTTTTTTTTGTTCTGTAGATGCTTCAGAATTTCATGTACACCATGCTTCAAGACAGCAACCCAACCGCAGCCAAGATTTCACTGGATGTGATGATTGAGCTGTACAGAAGGAACATCTGGTAGGTTGCCATGCACAGTCAAGATTTAAGGTCTACAGGCGGCAGGAACAATGGTGAAATATCCGAGTAAAACCAAAACACATATACTGTGTTCCCCCCCCCAAAATAATACCTATCCTGAAAATAAGTCCTGTCTTGGTTTGTATATGTGCACCGAATATAAGCCCCACCCCCCAAAATAAGCCCTAGTAAAGAACCCATCCACTCCGTTGTACCTGGTGGCATAAGGTGGGGCGAGGCACACAGGTAAAAAGCTACGGTGGGGATGGGGGGGTGAAGCTGCCCCACGTACTCTGCATCCACTTACTTCAAGGCAGTCGCAACCTGGCCTCCCACACCCTAATACCTGCCTTGCCCTGCCAGCCCACTTTTTAAAAAAATAGATATAGTTATAGATATTTAAGTGATACATTTATATTGTGTGTGAACAGAGTTGGTTCTGGGTATCATTCATCTTAATCCAATTCAGAATAACAATATTAGCAATCTCTTATCGCATTTCTCCAATATAAGTGATCCTTATTATATTGTTCAAACGTACCTTAGTTTTCGGAGTATAAGAATAAGTACCTTCGAAGTATAAGGAATAAGTACCTTTTTCCCTCAAAAAAGGGGCTGGAAATCTGAGTGCATCTCATACACTGAATACAGCATTTTTTTGCCTCCCGAAACCCCAACCCCTTCACCAAAATGGCCATGGAGAACCTTTAAGAGGCTTTCGGGGAGCTCCTGGGGGCTAGGGAGGGCAGAAATGAACAAAAAATGGGCCATTTTTTGCTCAATTTTGAACCCAGGTGCACTCTATAAGCCTAAAGGCTACCCATGCACTTTTTTTGACAAAAAACTGGGCCGTTTTTTGCTCTTTACACTTACATTGTTAATCTCTATCACATTTATCAAGTTTATATAATCCTCATTATATTATGCATCTCTTTAGTGCTTCAAGTAAGAACTAATGCCTCTTTTGGAGTGGGGAGGGGGGGGGGAGACCTGGACTTATTTTCGGGGAAACACGATATTTACCATATTTTTCAGAGTATAAGACGCACCAGAGTATAAGACGCACCAAGATTTTGAAGATGCAAATTTTTTTTAAAAAAGGTTTCGCACTCTGCAGACCTCCCCAAAACGGCCTGTTTTTCGCGAAAACGGGCCCATTTTTTGTCAAAAAAAGTGCATACATAGCCTTTAGGAGGCTTACAGAGTGCTCCTGGGGGCTGAGGGGGCAAAATTGAGCAAAAATTGGCCCATTTCTCGCTCATTTCTGCCCTCCCCAGCCGCCAGAAGGACTCTGGAAGCCTCCTAAAGGTTCTCCATGGCCATTTTGGTGAAGGGGGCGGGGTTTCGGGAGGCAAAAGGTGCTGTATTCAGTGTATAAGACGCACCCAGATTTTCAGCCTCTTTTTTGAGAGAAAAAGGTGTGACTTATACTCCGAAAAATAGGGTAATTTCTCACTCTCTGTTGTAAAGTATCCTTTTTTTTTAACAGGAATGATGCCAGAACTGTGAATGTCATCACGCTGGCTTGTTTTTCCAAAGTCACCAAGGTAAAATAAGCATTTTGGTCCAAGCAGAGGTAATCCTCAACTTACAACCGTTCATTTGCTGACATGTTCAAAGCTGCAATGGAAAACTGGGGGAAAAAACAGCCAATAACATGTCTCTTTTTGACACTTTAAAACCATTGCAACCTCTCCATGGTCACGTGATCAAAATTCAGGTGCTTGGCAACAGGTTCCTATTTTATGACGGTTGCGGGATCCCAATTTGTGACCTTCTGACGAGCAAAGTCAGTGGGAAAGCCAGACTCACTTAACAACCAGGTCACTAACATAACAGTTACAATGATGCATTAAACAAATGTTTCACTTGGCGACAGTGAATGTAGGGCCCAGTTGTGGTCGTAAGTCCAAATTCACCTGAACCCCTTTCCCAATTGGAGGGTTGGGGAGCGGAAATGATATTTCTGACTTTGTTAGTTCAGCAGCGTATGAAACTTGTTTGGCTCAAGGAGCTGGGTGTTTTTTTAAAAAATTGCTTTTGTTCTCACATGACTCTGTAGATCCAAGTGGCTGGCTTGACGTTTTTCCTTGGAAAAGATGAAGATGGAAAGAAAGGCAGTGATTCAGAATCTGAGGTCAGTGCACCTGGAATCCAGAATAATAATTTAGCTACATGCCTCGGGCCTAATTCTCAAAAGATGAGAATTATCCTGGACTGTACCACCGCTACCACAGCTGATGTCTGGGCTGTACCACCTCTTTGATTTCCCCTCCATTAAAAACAGAGTAATATCCACGCAGACGCGTGGCTCAGTGGCTAAGACACTGAGTTTGTCAATCAGAAAGGCCGGCAGTTCAGCTGTTCGAATCCCTAGCGCCGCGTAACAGAGGGAGCTCCCGTTACTTGTCCCAGCTTCTGCCAACCTAGCAGTTCGAAAGCATGCAAAAAATGCAAGTAGAAAAATAAGGACCACCTTTGGTGGGAAGGTAACAGCCTTCCGTGCACATTCGGCGTTGAGTAATGCTGGCCACATGACCACGGAAACATCTTCAGACAGTGCTGGCTCTTTGGGCTTTGAAACAGAGATGAGCACCTCCCCCTAGAGTCGGGAACGACTAGCACATACGTGCGTCAACCTTTACCTTAATATCCATGGACAATGTCAGATGCAAAAGATGCTATAGTCATTTTGTCTCTGAATTTTTATTTAATTTGTCATTGCCAAAGTGTCTTTATTTTCAATCCCACAACAACTTCACTGTGCATTGCCAACAAGAATGATCAAGAATGTGTAGAAGAAAGTGTACAAAATGACCTTACGTTTATACACCCAGGGCAACCTTAAACTCTCAAAAGAGCCACAAAGCTCCTAACCGGAACACACACACCCCTTTAATTCTGGAGCAGACCGGAAGTCCAGTTCCCCCACGATAGATTCTCCTCCTAGGGCGGCATCCTTTTTCCTCTACCTGCCCTAACCGAAAGCCCTATCAATTGTGTAGCTGACCGGAAAACCCACCTTTGCCGTAGTCTCCTCCTGGCGCACTGTGCTTCCAACCCTCCCCTCAAACCGGAAGCTCCTCTTAAAATTGTGGCGTTGATCAGTGACAGGGAGCCGCAGCAGAGGGATGAAAGAGCCACATGCAGCTCCGGAGCCGCAGATTGCTGGCCCCTGACCTAGGAGGATAGAATTTGATAAAGAGTGGTATTTTGCGTTTTCCTTATGCAACCCTGTACTGACTCCTACATTTCTCTTTCGTACAATATTTATTTTTCAAGGATGAAGGTCCCTCAGCAAGAGACTTGATGGTACGGTACGCCACAGGAAAGAAAACCACGAAGAACAAGAAAAAACTAGAGAAAGCTATGCGCGTTTTAAAAGTGAGTAGTGTGGCTTGGTAGACCTTCATAGCTGGGGAGATCTAGACATATCTTGCAACCTGTTTTCTATGCCTCTCCTAATATAGATAATCCTCAAAATATTATTGTAGTGGAGCTTGTAATCAGTCACGTAACTGGCCTGATTTTAGGCAGCGTGCACTGATTGCCAGTTGTCTTCCGGGTGCGATTCAAGGTACTAATTATGACCTTTAAAGCGCNACTGATGGTGTTACTTAGCTGGGTAGGAAAATGTCTACCAAAAAAAACCCCCCACCAAGCTCAGAGAGCACCAAAGACCCCGAGCTACAAATATTTTCTTCTATCAATATTCTCCGATATTTTGCATGCAGGCCACATCTTGGAGCCAAAGTCAAAAGGACATTTCTTTCAACACTACGACCAGTCACTTAGGGAGGGCCAGCTAACAAATCAAATTACCGTTAAATAAATAGATGAAAGCCACTGCATCAGGACCCAGCCAAAACAGAGATTACCCTGGCATGTTTCTGTAGCAAATATACGAAAGGGGAAATTCTCTGTTATTTTGGCTTCTCGTAAAAATCTTTTTTTTTTTTTTTTTAGCTTCCTTTAGAAATGTCTTTGCTTAAGGATAGCTACTTTAAATTGAAAGCTAGCTGGCCTGGGGAGATTAAAACGTATTTTTATTAGCTGCTATTTTAGAAGCCGGGTTGATTCTCTTTTTGACTTTGGCTCCAAGATGTGGCCTGCATGCAAAATATCGGAGAATATTGATAGAAGAAAATATTTGTAGCTCGGGGTCTTTGGTGCTCTCTGAGCTTGGTGGGGGGTTTTTTTTGGTAGACATTTTCCTACCCAGCTAAGTAACACCATCAGTGCTAGAATGGAGCGGGGATTGCAGAGAAGATGAGGAGGAGAACAATGACAAATGTGGGATTTTTGGTGCTCTCTGAGCTTTGTGGTTTTCTTGCAGACGTTTCATGACCCAACTAGGTAACATCATCAGTGCTAGAAGGGAGTGGGAGGAAGAGGAGGAGGACTGCGGGGTCCTTAGTGCTCTCTGAGCTTGGAAGTTTTCTTGCAGACGTTTCATGACCCAACTAGGTAACACCATCAGAGCTAAAAGTGAAATTCACCTTGTCTGCAATTCTGCAGTTTAAATGTTGCTTCTTGGATGTTTTCCTGGTTACGTTCAACACTGAAGATGTTGCCTAGTTTGGGAATGAAAGAGTGGTGGGTTTCAATTTTTTTTTTACAACCACTTCTGTAGGTGTGGCCTGCTTTGTGGGAGTGGCTTGCCATCCATGTGACTGGGTGGGCGTGGCCAACTTGTAAAATGTGGTGAAACTCACCTAACAACGCTCTTGCTTAGCAACCAGAATCTTGGCTCAGGAACATTTGAAGCACACAAGTCTTAAAGCTGTCAAGTTACAAGACCCTTGCACCCCTAACCCTTTAGAGAGAAAAAAAC